TGTGTGGTTTTTGTTTCCCCCCCCCCCCCCCCCCCCAATTAAAATCCTCTGCCCACTGTGGCGATCCCCTTTGAATTTCTTATTTGTACCCTCAGTGGACAAAAGCTTAAGGGAGTACAGCTAAGAATCTTCAGCATCTCCATGGGAAGTCTTATCTGAAAATTCCAGTCTTCTCCCAGCATGGAAATTCTGTCTCTCCCTGCCCTGGAGTGATATGTTTGGGTCTACTGTGCAAGGGTGTGATGTGTGGGATGACCTCCAGAGCTTCTCCTGTTTGGTGGCTATTTCCTATAAATCGTAATACAAGCGCTGCCAATGGAATCCTGATAATACACCCTTCTTAGAATATTTATTCTGGTGCCAGTTTTCTTTACAGGGGATGATACCAGTGTTAATGCTGGTTGTGTTTGTACCAGTTTAAAAGCTCAAAGTACTAGTGTTCTGCTGATAAACTACATCAGTCCTAGATTTGATGGCATCAGTATCAATAGCTATTTTTACAGCACATCATCCTGCTTATCCAGAATCTTTTACTTCATCCTACATGTTTTTCCCTTGCATTATTTTGCAGCTGAAAATGTTGTAGAGATTAGATTAATAATTCTCTCTAATACCTGCTAAATGTAACCACAAATTTTCTTCTAGTGCATATACTTCTTTATATAAGGTATTTTACTCAAGAAAGACTTTCAATCCATTTTATAGGGAGGGACTGTAAGGAATGTCAAACAGTAGTAACTCTAGTTCATGTGAAGGATACAAAGTAATAGCATAGAATTTTTCTCTAACATAAAGATGGAAATGCAACCAGCTGGATTTCTTTGAATCAGATGTCAGCTCGGAGTCTGCTCTCTCAATTTGACTTGCTCATAATGGTAAAAGGGGGTAGTTGGATGGTTGACTTAGCGCCTAAGCAGCTGGATTCCCATGAGAAGTGATTATACAATAGACCTTTAAACAGCAAACTAATCTTTCATGTCATTAAAACTGATGTCATTATTAGCCAGTTACGACATGGTTTGTTTTTGCAAAGCACCTTTAGATACTCTTGATGAATAACTGCAGACATTTGGAAGACTCTTAGCAAAACCTGGTGACAGAACCTACATTTTGCAACGCACAAATGTGAGTACTGATCTCTAACAGATACTTGCCCTAGTGAAGGGGGCAGATTATTAACTGATGCTCTAGTGCACTAGTACAGGTTGGTTTTTTTTTTTTCTATTTATGTCTGTATTTAACTTGAAATGGTCCAATTTTCTGTATTTCAGATAGAGTTGAATTAACCTATTCCTAGCATAGCAAACCCAGAGGCACAGAAAGCAAGAGGAAGCTGTGCAGCCTGTTTTGCTTTTGGGACAGCATTAGTGAGACCTGACCTGTTGGCCAGTAAGAATAGTTAACTGGAATAAGTGGGCAACCCAGTTCTCTCTCATGTTAGGAAGGGAAGAAATAAGCTGACAAATCAGTCTGTTAGATGATTCAGGGTCTACCTCCTGAGTTTGAACTGCATTGTGGGTTTTTTTAATTATTTTATTTTTTTTAAATACATAGTATTTTTAGAAGATTTTTGCAAGTAGCATGAAAAGATCCAGCAAATGCCCCATTATCCACAATAATGTGGTGCCTTGGCCTCTGCATTGGTAAGCACGTAACATGCTGAAATATTAACTGAAACGCGTTGTAAGGTAGATCTCTAAAGCTCTGTCAAGATGTGATAAAGAGGCAAGAGTTAGGTACACATAGCTTTTCAGTGGCAACAGAAAATTGAACTTTCTTTGCAAAATGGAGTCAGATGCAAAAGGACAGTTGTGGGATGGGGAAAATAGCAACAAAGTAGATGCTATGTATTAGAAGTATTTGAAATTGGAGGAAGAGGGCAGCTACCTGTAAGGAATGGTAAGGTCATGTTTTCTTCTTCAGCACTTCCTCTGAGTCGTTTAGGTAGGTAGCAAAGGGTCCTGAACCTTCTGGGTACCTAAGAAGCCTGACTTGGAGTGTGCTTCCAGTACACAGTGACTGAGCATTAACATGCTTGAGTGCTTTGTGAGCTGTAGCTCTAAATGACTTGGCATAGTCAAATACTTATTTTCATGGTATGAAAATAAGCAGACCTGTGAAGTGAGTCTAGTTCTTCTAGAGTTTAGTCGAAAACATGGATTAAACTTGGCTGTAACTGGACTTGTGGGGGGGTATTTCAGCTGGAAGTTATGGGTTAGCAGATGGGGGTACAGGTGGATGATGATAATAAAATGCAGAGAATAGGGCATGTTGTTCAATACTGTGTTTCTAGGTCTCTTTATCAATCAGTTTTGTAATATAAGAAAGTAAGCAACTATTTAGCAAACTGTTTACTGTTTACTAGGCCAGCTGTACAATGAAACTGAACAGCTTGAAGGGAGGGGGTGTTCTTGAATTGTATAAAATCAATATATTTTTAATTACTGCTGTCTTGTCTGTTCTTGTGCAAATGCTGAAAATACAGAATATTCTAGTTCTACACAAGCTTTATGTTTTGCCAGTATTTGCCAAGTTGTTTTGCCAATGTTGCCCAAGTGGCAGTGTAAGAGCTTGAAGTTTTGATGATGAATACAGATAGTGTATGACTCAAAATTTCAGGCTGAATAATACTTAATGATAGGTAAGGTCATTTCCTGAATGCTTGTTTTCCTCTTTGAATGGGGATGGGGTGTAAGGGGAGAAAAAGGCAGTATATATGTTCTGTAACAGAAGCAAGTATCCTGATGATTAAAACAGATTGTGGGTAGTTTTAATTTCCTGAGCATGAACACTGCTATCTTACAGCTTCATATCCTGAAATGAGAGACAGGACTGCTGGGAAGGTAAGCAGTGAAGTTGGTGTAAGGCTGATAAAATTACATAGCAAAATACAAAGCAATCTGGTAAGTCAGCCTCTGTCATTGTCAGATGAGGTGATATTTATCAGTTAGTTTATGCTGGGTATTTTTATTGCAGCCCAGTGTACATGCTCATCCTGCTGTTATAATAGGTGCCAAGCCTCCCCCATAATGGTAGACACTGCATATGTTTGTTCTTTCACCTTATTAGTCTCTTTTTCTGCACATGTTAATGAAGATGAGGCTCTTCATATACTCTTTTTGTCCCAGCTTTGAAAGGCTTGTGTCTGAGTCATTACTATAGTGCACAATACAGACCGGGAACTTTATCACATTTTATGTCTCTGATGGATATTCTAACCTGTCACAGGTAGTGGATGCTGGAGAAAACAAATTTTCTTTCCTCTTGATTCCATCCTCACAATGGTTTGCTCTTGCTCCCTTCTTCTGGTGGGGCAGTAAGGGATTACTTCTAGAAGATGAAATTTGCTGCAATGTTTGGAAGGTTTCCAGTCTCGATATGCTTTGTACAAAATGATTTGCTTATTGCTTTGTCAAAACTGCTTCTCCAAAAATATCAAAGGACTCCTGGCACCAAAGGGAAACAGCTTTCCTATGGAGATAAAGATTGACTCTCAGGCATTAATCCTTACAGAAACTACATTTACTTTGCCAGGATTGTCAAAGCTGGTGCTTCACTGGCAGTTACTTTCTATGGAGCCCCCAAGATTAGGACTGTCAGCTCCTCCTCTTTCTCATAAGCAGCTTTGTTGAATAATATTGATAGGATGGGGTGGGCAGGAGGATGAGCAGAAAGTTCCAGAGTAAGAGACTGGTCCAGATGGTTGGGCCTGCCAACCTGAGCTTTTTTTGGCGCCTTCTGCTACTTGTGGTCCTCGCTTTCAAAGGCTCTGAGTCTTTGCAGGATTCCCATGTCCGTCCTTGGCCTGCCACTGCCAAAGGACTAGGCTGCTTGCGTCAGTGTGGATAGCTGATGATGAAAAGAAACTTGACATCTTGAGCATCTCTTTCCTTAGCTGTCTGGAGGCACTTTGATCTCTAATGGTACTGTGCAGTGGGCCTGAGCCAGGTTTGGGGAGGAAAATTGCACCAAGTGGCAGAGATATGGTACA